ACAAGACATATTAGAATATATTCCCTAAACCCTAAACTCTAACTTACTTAATATATAGAAAAGGAATTTTTGGAGTAGTTCAACCTGTAGTGGAAAAATAAACTGCCTCTAGGAAGTTACTCAGAGCTTTATAGATAATAAGCAGCTCAACACTCTTCAGTCTTCAAACTTGTGCAACGAGTGGTTGAAAATGTTAAAACAAATCTTCATTTCAAGACCATTACAATCAAAATTTCAGTCAAAACAATTTAAAAGTCAAAAAAAGATCTCCACAAATTCGCGAGGCTAGATTTTAAGCCAAGAGTGGTGTCTACCTTGGTTCCCATGTGAAGAAGAAAGCATCAGCGCGTAGTATTATCAACCATCTAATCCAAAATTGCTACTTCAGCGGCTCCGGAGTGGCGACGTGGCACGTCCTCGGTCGACTCGGTCGCCGCCGGTCCGAACGTAGGACGAAGCTTCACTCACGGTGGTGCCAGACATTCCAAATGACACGATTTACGTCGGCCAAGCAGCGCTCGCGTCCGCGTGGCTAGCTCGCATGAGAAGATACATGTGTCATTTCAGAGCGAGTCGGATCCTCAGAAAGTGCAACTTGGCACCCGGTGCCGCGCCGTCAGATCGCCCCATCTGCACGGCCAGGGGCATGAGATGCCGCTATAGTCTCACTTAGTGGCGCAGTGTTAAAACAACACTTCATTTCAAGACCAGTACAATCAAAATTTCAATCAAAACAATTTAAAAGTCGAAAGAAGATCTCCACAAATTCGCGGGACTAGATTTTAAGCCAAGAGATGGTGTCTACCTCGGTTAACAGGTGAAGAAAAAAGCATCAGCACGCAGTATTATCAACCATCTATCCAAAATTGCTCTGATGGAAGGATGAAACGAAAGGCAGTTCCACAAATCATGCCTGAAAAAATCTGCGCCAAGGATTTAAAAAACGATAGAATCAGACAGGGTTATATGTACCGGAGAAATCTTATAATCGACATTTCCATGAAGGCAAAGTGAGGATCGGCATTGTTTCTAAAGGAGCTGGTTCAACCGGGACATACATGCTAGTACCAAGACCATGAATTGACGCCAGGTAGCATGGTGCACGGCAATTATACTCAGGAGCATCAGGCGATTAAATTTCGACTGACCAGTCATAATTTCAACAAAAAGTCTCGACACCATGCAAGTAACTTGTGCATACGACTCTATACGTAGGCTTCATATCAGTATCAAACTCGAAACAGTCTCGTTTTGCTTGCAGAATTCAAGTTAAGGATCTTTTAAGGTCGTAATTTAAAAAAATCATGGTTTCGACCGGAGTTTAAAGCCCAGTAAGCACATAGAGGGAGATAGCTCCTGATAATTGGGTTGACATGTACCTCTTCAATAGGTTTGACTCTCAGCATTCTTTCTGATCCCACGCCACGGCCTTGGATCCCTTGAACTGGTATCGGGACCGCAGAAAGAATACAACAAGAAGGTCAATTGAAATTCAATCAACTCATATTAGGAAAAATTCATCACATTTGGTCCGTAGTTCAGGACCTGTTCTGTTCCCTAGGTGGGACCATGCGTAAAATCTTTCAGAAATCAGACTTTCAAAAATCAGACTCACTTGATTATGATTCTAATTCTAACTATCAATTCATAAAGAGCCAACCGTGAGAATCTCGACGATTGCCGTTCAGAAAAATGCATACCAGGTAGCATAGAAGTCTACGAGGACAGGTAGATCAGAATCAGGTAAATCAGGCAGGAAATGCCGCAGTCGCACCTCGAGTGAAAACATTCACTCTCACTGACGGAATCAGCAATTGAGTAATCAAGCCAAAGAGTATCACAAATGAGCAGTTGCTACTTTGCTCCCTTCTTCGATCCATTATATACTAGATCTCAAAGACTAAACGGTCAAATTCAACGGGTCTGAAAGACTGAACGGGTCGAACGTTCAAGATTCAAGACTCAAACGTGAACTCTGAGACATGATGATTTTTTAACGATCGAATTTCTCGAATGGATGATGAAATAAACTCGTGTGCAGTTGCTCCCGTCTCGCTTAAGTGTAATATAGTGGAATTAGTCGTGAATATAAGAAGGGCTCCCGACCAGATCAAGGATCGAGCACGGATGGTACTGATGCCCCACGATCTGATGATGAATCCTCTGTAGCTGACCTTGAATCCGTTGCAGGGCACCCGATCGAGGATCCAAGCTAGATCGAGGTACCACGAATTGAGAATTTAAGAGATAAATCAAACCAAGGTACTTCTAGATAAATTGTCATTAAGATTTTCCTCGCGAAGCACAGCGCTGCGTCGCGTTTGAATTTTTTGTTTTTTGCTAGTGCATCGTGGGAAGCTTAGTTGTAGCTCGTGCGTGTCATGCCTCGTCTAACCGTGCGCGTTTGTCTTGGGTTGTGCGTAGAGTTCTGGAGCGCCGTGGCGCATTAAGCCGACTTTCATCTCTGCGTACCGGCGGGCCTGTTTTGCCTTGAGAGAGTTTTTAGATACTAGTCACTGACAAATTTAGGACTCGTTTTCTCGATACAAAAGCAAGCAAGCTGGAGGGTTATTCATCGCCTCGCGCGGCGGGCGGAGAATTCTAGATTAGCCGTAGAGGGAACGTGGAAGTATATCGCCCGTGCGAGCGAAGTGAACCCCGAAGGCTGAACGGACCACATTTTTTTCGGTCTAATTTTTTTCGGACCGGTTCCGACGGTTAACCGGTTATTTGTCGGTCCGGACCGGACCGTGGCCAAGCCTAGTTAGAACTATCCGCGACGTCATCCATCCAATAGGAATGGGATGGATGATGGAGATAAAATATTGTTTCCTTGTACTTGTTGGTAAGAGCTATCTATATAAGGGAGAGTAGAATCATTGTTGGTATTTTTCATCTTCAGATTGTATGTTTTCATCTTCGAATGAGCTTCTCTCTAAACATTGATGTTACACCTAACAAGCATACAGATTGTTTACGTGACGATTTCATTCTCTATCTACCAAGCACGCGGATCGCTAACATGACAACTATGACTAGTGCACGCTAAAGTAACTATAACTTCATCTTGAGTAAACTTTACTTTAGTTCTATTTAACTGAAAATGATTACATACGCAACTCATAAATTTATCAATTATGTCAAAAATAATGAATTTAACATTGCGAAGAAATAATAATCGAGTTGGTTCAATGAGATTGCTGATTGTCGTCAAAGCAAAATGTCAATGATCTTCAATGGAACATGTGATATCAATATAGGAAGTCGACCAATAGTTGCGGATGACATAAGTGAATTCATCTAGATTTTTAAAGTTGGAGTTGCAAAATGCACTCATCTTAAATAGTAACTCACTAATTAACTATTGAACATGTGTTTGTTGTTGGTTAAACATCAGACAATGTCCTTGGAGTTGTATCACCATCGTGTGTATGACACTTGTGATGATTCTTGTGATAACATTTAGAACCCATCAGATTTCACTTTGAGATTGAGATGCACGGGGAGAAAATATTACTGGAATTTTGAAATAGTGGGCATTCATTTGGTGGCAACGAACATGGTGTGCCATTGAGTTGCAGATTTTTTCTGACAAGTTGATTTTATCTTGCAAATAAACGTCTACTGGTGACGCAGGTGCGAGATCATGGATACCAGTGTTGTGTACCATGCATCCCCATCGAGCTTCAAGTATGACTCATATAACGGAAAGTCCAATTGATGGAAAACACACCACACATGAATAAATCTTTCCAGTGAACATTGTTGCTGGCTTGTGACATGACCCATCATGTTTCGAGCTTTGTAAAACAATGCACCAATCAATTGATTTTTGGAGGTGGAAGAGAGTGCATCACATAATTTGCATAGAATTTCAAACAGTAACAAACCAATATGAGATTCGTATAATAAAATTAATATGAGATGTAAATTGTTAAGTTTATGTGGCTAAACAAAATGAACACAAACATCTATGTCTGCGGTATGCATGCAAGTTGGAACATCCAACGCGATTGAGAAAGTCCACACCATGCATAGAATGTTAGCAATGATCTAAAGATTGACACTACATTGGACACGTATAAATGTAACAGTTTTTAGATCATTCATTCCATTGAGCTTACTTACCATTGCAACTTACTTTGTTCCTTGAAGCGCCAAGGCAATATGCTGGAGATTAATATCAATGACAACATACATATGATGCTTCATATGATATGAAACATGATGACAAAGTTTAAAAGAAACAAAAGCAACGAAACATGAAATATAAGTAGCATGAGATGTTACAACTAACTTTCATAGATCTGATGCTAGTATTCAAACATATGTTGCAAATCGCAATATGTATCTTGGATATCCAACACACAAGCCCTATCATGGAGATACTTAAACCTTCAACTACAAGTAACTTTGCATTCTGGTAACATTCATGGATATGGAATATGTATCTCGTCTAGGTGACCAACTAAGAAATCACACCATTGCTACCGGTAGATGATATACCCTCCATTTCGTGTTCACGCCCCCCGCCAAAAGCTGGAAACTAACGTAACTTCCAAAATGACTCTAGGTGACATGCAATATTCCACGAGTTCGATAGTCACAAGACAAGTTCAGATAGAAAGGATATCAATTTTTCTAGCGATACTTCAAGCCAGTTCTCAACAAGAGCAGAAATGATTTTTGGAGTACAATAGAATCAGCGAAAGCAACTATTAAAATCAAGTATAATAAAAGTGAGTCTAGACCAGTGATGACTCCCGCGCTCTCGATCTCGTCTTCTTTGAATACATTTACAATATAGACAACCTTAGGGCTGGCTACAAAAGGCTGAAAGGAAATGTAGCCCCGGAATCGAACGTAGAACTAAAGCCTTAAGACATCAGTAAATGCAGGCAATTTAACCCAACAAGGTTTCTTTGACTCCACTGGCGAAATTTCCAGTCAGTAGCGTGTTAATTCCACCTTTCAAGGACCACAGTTCCAGAGAAGAATGTAAGATTCTCTGTGTGCAAAGAAGTGAACATGAACTTTTTTCCTCCCTTCCTTCTTTCAATTCTGATCAAGTGTTAGTTTCGTGAATGTGATTCTTCTTGTAATTTGCCTCGGCCACACGTAGCCTGGAACCTCACAATTGACATGCTCTCATCCCAGCTGAACATAGATTCCAAAAGTTCCGACAATGACAGTGACGTACGTGTTTGCACTCAGATAAACTCTGAGAGATTCGAGCAGGGAAGACCAGTCGATGTATCAAGAGCAAAATGCTCCGTACGTGTTGTGCTGAACTGAGTCGGAATCCGAACTTAGGCAGCTTCTGGAAGTGCAGAAGCAAGAATCTCGCTGTAGGAGAGTTTCACCGGAGCGCTGTTCATCGGAAACGAGTGCTTGCATGCTTGCCCTCCTCCCCACAGATTGTATTCGGTGGCTGCCAGTTTCGTGTAAGGCATTTCCCTCCTTCCTCTAATTTGGGTTAGTGACAATCCTTTAGCATTTTAATTCGGAGATGGTCTTCTCAGTCTTCGATAGCCAATGCCGATTTCTTGCTCTCCTGCCACGAGCTCTTCGAGCGATCGGAGGAGGAGATTGAGCGTCTGACGAATAACATGCTGGACGCGTTTTTTGACCCGTGACACCATGTTCGAGAAAGTTTGAAAAACCTCGAACGTTAGGAGCCGAATGCCGGCTGCGGACGCGAGACTTGCGAGCACGATGTCCTTTCTTGGGTGGACGAACGCCTCCCGGCACGTCGATTTTCAATCCCCTGTTTCTGAACCATTGAGGCTCATGGATGCCGCCCTTTCCAGGAGTCGAGAAGTGCATAGAGGAATTCGCTACAGGAATTCTCCTCGTGGTGGCTCTTTGACCTGAGTATTTGTCCTGAGCTCTGGCTGTAGAATCGAGCTTGTAAGCCCTTCACGATTTGTCGAAGACGGCTTTGAATACTTCGCTTCGCGATCTGACAAAACTGGGTGGGCAATCCAGGTTTTGTTTCGTCTGGGACTTATCAAAGCTGATAACGAACCCACAGAAGTCATCGACTTCTCCTCACACTCTCCTGCACAGGGACGATTGAACTACTGCGCATCATGTGTGGAGGGCTTTCGAACAGAACAATTTAGATCTCAGTGTCTACTCGCGTTCAATTTGGAGCCCGAGACGGAGCAAGGATGAGGTTTCTGGATGTGCTGTTATTTTGGGTCTTTGTAAGCAGCAGGCAGTACGCAAGCGGAGGAATTCTAGCAGTTAAGCGAAACGGAACATTTGGAGAGGTACTAACTACAGGCGTCTGGCAGTATATTGAAATTGGCCGAGTGCTCTGACTTGGGCTTTTACCATTTTGTTTGTTGTAAAATTGAAACAGAGGTTGGATGAGTTCGTGAAGATTTTCGGAACCGCCACAACTGGGATAGATTTCCCATCCGAATCAATTCTTAAACGAGGGTAATATAGCTGACAATCCTATAGACTTCTGCACTGTATTAAACCGGAAAGGTTAATGCGCTTGCGTTGTAGCTGTAGCTGGTGTTATAAGAAACCAATAACAGAAAAAATGTGCATGTCCGCATCTTTTATAGTAAATTACAATTCCAATCTGAACATGACTCGGATTCCGTTGAATGTCCATTTAAGTGCGCCTTCTCAGATTACTGAAGCGACAAATCAGTGCTAAATGTTGATGCAGACTTGTCCCGCTGCAGGTCTCTTGGGGAAAGAAATGTATGAGGTTGTCAACGCGAACCCATTATCTGGGCACATGACTTCTGATGCCCGTTTGTTCATTTTCCAGCCCAACGAATGCTCTTTCCAATTCGTATTTGAAGTCCCGGTTCACTAGTCGTGCCATGGCGGAAGCTGGAGAAGCAGCTGTACCACTGATTGTAGTGTATGTCACTGTACCGAACAAAGAAACTGGTAACCTCAGAACTCCATAGCATATGGATATTCATATCCCGCACAGTACCGAAACTAGTCTACGATCGAATAAGGTAGTCGTCCACATCACACAGAAGTTTCTTGGACTGCTATCACTTTAACCGCAACGAGTCACCCGCTCTCTCATCAGAATATATAAAGTTAGGCTTTCTTAATTAACCTTCATCTTACCTTCTGATACATGTGCTGCAATGATGAACTGATCAATATCTAAAACGAGCGATGTTCTTGCCTTTTCTAGCCACAAGCCTGGCGACGAGCATAGTAAGCAACAAATTGGCAGCTTGTGTAAATCAAGTGCCAGGTAAGAACGAAGTACCATTGTGGTAGAGTTTCCTTATCAGGTTTCTTACATGCTTCCTCTTCCATGCTAGATCTGACATTTGAAGAACAAGATAAGTTGCATCTGTAGTATTTGTCATTTTTGTTTACGTCACGTTGAGTGTTTCTGATAACATCCGGTGGCAGGTGTTATGTCGACTTATATGTGGGAAGGAAAGGTACTGTGTCTGTCTCCAAGCACCCCGCCCTTCAGTTCTGCTTACCCGTAATTAAGACCAAATAAAACAAGAGACCTCCGAAGATGCTTACTGCTTGTTCTATAACCAGCTGAATTTTTGGGTAGTAAAACCATGGGGTTGAACTCCTCTTTCACTCCTGATTGCATTCAGTCTCTTCTATGAATTGGCAATTGTGAGGCGACAACCTAATCGGTAGGCATAGCTGAAGTTGACAGAGTAATTCCCATTCCCAAGTTCTGACCAGACCTGTTACCGGCTCGAGCCTGTTATGTCGAGTGTAGAGGATATGAATTGGTCAGGCTAGGGCCTTGAGGATACCCGAATCAACCTTTTAGGTGTGGTGGGGTTTGAAAATCAGATCTGTCGAGTGAGGTGATTCCCAGCAGGCAAACAACTAGAGATTGTGTCTATCAATCTGGTAGGCAAAATGCTGGCATTGCATCTAGCTCAGTTGAAACGACCCTCATCCTGAATGTCAGTTTGAGAATTTACGCCTGAAGAGATGAAAAGCTCCAGCTCACTATGGTGCTTGAGGCAGCTCATCCAGCACAATTTCTCAGCGCATGGCTTAGATCAAATCGATCCTTGTTCATATACCTTGGTGCAATCTTTTGGTGACATCGAGTAGGTTTTGTGTGATGCACCGCTCCCGCTGAACATGAATAGTGTCTGGTGTCACCATTTCCTTTGCATTTACCAAGTCGTATTTGCAGGTGGAGACCGAGGAAGAAATTTTACTGATAATAAAGACCAGGCAAGCCCTTCTTGATTCCTTGACGGTGCATGTGAAGAGCAACCACCCTTACACGTAAGATATTCATTAACAACCCCTTCCTTTTGATGAAAAGGTTGTAGCTTATCATGCGTAAAAAATGTACTGTCGTGACCCCTTCCTTCACTACACAGGTGAGATACGTGACTAATATAGTCTTCCTGTCTTTCAAAAGCTTGTGTTAATGTAAATTACGGAATTACAGTGTGATGACTGAACTATTGCATGCGCAAAACCAGAGGGTGTAAGGTAATGGCGGGTTATTCTGTTTTGCAGGGTTCCAGAGGTCATTGCCCTACCAATCTTAGGAGGCAGTGACTCCTACGTCCAGTGGGTGGTAGACAATACTCAAAAGGCCGACGATGTGATTCCACCTCTTTGAAGATGTGCAGGCGATGCCTCGAACTTGAATGTGAGTCGTCCATGGTAGATCTCGTTCCTTGAACTCTTGTCTTCACTTACTAGTTTCATTGGAAGTTATCGAATGGCCTGGAATTGCTTTCAGTTTTCTGTATCGTAGAGAGGCACAGACGAAGTCATGCGGCTCTGGCTTTTCTGCAAGCCGTTGGAGATTATTTGTTTGAATGGAAAGTGTTTACTCGTGTCCTATTCAATTTTCCCTGAACTTTGAACCAGTATCCGACGTACTGGTTAACAGGTTCCAGATTGTTTTGTTGTTCACGCAGATTGACGTGAAGGCTGACTGATCTTTGCATGCGTTCTGCACGGAGGTAGACTCGTGTACAGTTGAAACGAGTTCTCCCTGTCCGCAGTTTTAAAGGGAAACTCCTTCAGAGCTATATCTCTCCTCATCTATCTACCCAATACGTCATGATACCTTACAGTCACATTGTAATTATACATCGATGTTTGATTGTTCACTTATGGTATCCGCAGGAGATTGCGCAAGAAGACGGAGCCAGATAAACTGGAAGCAGAAAGTAGTAACAGCTCAGGTTTTCTCAAAAAGGCACACAAATACACACATCTATGATGCAGGCTGCTTAGAGCTTCTCGCTTGGAGTTGTCTAGAGTCAGCACGAAAGGTAGAAATCTTGACAACACCCTCCAAGAATGAAGCCAAGACGGGAGTAACTTTTTTGCCTCATGGACGTGTCCTACATCGAATCGAAGTAAAAGGATGATTGTCAGTTAGTTGTCAGTCTTCTCTTTGATAACCACGGCGATCTACCGTTGCAATGAGCTCTAGGAGAATGTATAACAAGTTGTCAACACGACCAGCCTTAGTTGAAGTTTAATGCGATTTTGAGATAAAGAAGGGTTTTAGTTTTGTCTAAGAACACACAGAAACGATCTGGAAGCTTGACGTACGGAGATAAGCTATGAAGTGAGAGAAATTCGTATGTTTTGGGACCTAAAAAACTCTCATATTAAGCACAGCTGGAAATATCGCACTGAATGTATACATGAGTTTTGGCCTTTGATGGCAAAAGGTACGCTAACCTGTGACGAGAATGCACGTTTTTGTGAATGAAATCTCTATATTCAGGGGTCCAGAGAACGTCACCACGATGAGACGGTTTGTTCGTAGTTGCCGCTATTGATGAAAAACATGGCTGGGTTCTTGTACGGCCATCATGTAATGAGGTCTGATATTCCTCCAAATGATCATCTCAGTAGACATGAAGATAATTCGAGCAGAAACCACGTAGCTTTGTAGGTTGGATGCCGACAAGCGTGCAGCTGTATCCACATTGTCAGCGAGTCATTCTGTGCATATTCTGAGCGGAAGCAAACACGACGGCTTCTCGCAGTATTAAAGGCCCGGTAAGGGCAACAAGTTGGGTCTATGGAAGAATGTAACGGTAGAAGTGGGGACAAAATGGGCCTATGAAAATAGTAAACCTGACAGTTGTCTTGTTGAAGGCCTCTTTCAATACTATTGACATGCCTCATCATCTTGCGAGGTTCGTCTCGTCACACTCTTTTCCTCTCCTCAGTGTTGGGAAGAACAATCCCTTAAGTCATTTGTGCACTACAATCGGCCGAGAGACTGCTTCAGTAGTTTTTCCGGACTCGAGCTAATACTGAGGGCGTAGGGTTTTCGCTCCCAACGCCCATAACCAAACACACAGTGACATACAAAGTAACACGCAACTCGAATTCGGGCCTATCCACGTTGCCTGTTTACTGATCAGAAAACACAGTCTATGACAAGGATTTCTTATTTTTCCTTGACCAAAACCAATATTTTTATTGCTTTGTGTTGGTGAGAAGTCCAGACAACAAAGGGTGATATTGACCTCGTTTACCAAAATCAACTAGATCTTAAAAAGTACCCTGGAAGATAAAAATAAAAAAAGGTGTTACCTTTTCTATTGAGGTTTGTTCTCTCATCTTCAAACAATGTTGTTTTTTCATGATGTATATGCGTAATAATGATGGTACTTATTTATTAACAAATATCCGGAAATAGAAAATAAAAGTAGAGAAGACCAATGAGGTCAAGCAAGTAGGGCATGAAATGAGCATCTGCAGAGATGTACTAGTTAAGGATGTAAAGCTACCGTTAGGAGGTAATGAACATAATCCAGTTTAGAAATTGCGGCTGTTGTCTCGAAACTCATCGTTGAACGTTTAGGCAATGTTAGTGCAAACGCATGTTATGCTCATTTCATGCCCTACTTACTTGAGCTCGTTGGTCCTCTCTATTTTTATTTTCTATTTCCGGATATTTGTTAGTAAATCAGTACCATTATTATTAGGCATATACATCATGAAACAAAACAAAAAACAACAGTGTTTGAAGATGAGAGAACAAACCTCAATAATAAAAAGGTACCACCATTTTTTATTTGTATCTTCCATGGTACTATTTAAGATCTAGTTGATTTTGGTAAACGAGGTCAATATCACCCTTTGTTTTCTGGACTTCTCACCAACACAAAGCAATAAAAGTATTGGTTTTGGTCAAGGAAAAATAAGAAATCCATGTCATAGATTGTGTTTTTTGATCAGTTAATGTGCATGTGAAACTTTTATCGTCCACCTTTTATTCAAGTGGTGTTTAGAGAATTTGCATACATATATATATACTCCTAGACACTAAAAGAACTCCATCGCTACTAGAACTCCAAGTTCTCTAAAAGAGGTGGCTGGGTCCTCAAGGTATCACCATTGCCTCCGAAGTTGGTCTTGTCTGCACTTTCGTAACAGAATGTTTCATACAAAGTCAGTCTTTTTTCAATAATCCATATCAATCAGATTTAAAAATTAAAAATTGTATATACAAAACAAAATATTTATATTTCTTTTTATATGAATTTCAGATTATAAAAAAAAATTAAAGGATTTATTAAATCAACCTCAATATTCTTATTATCAAAGATGAATTTTCAACATACGAAACTTGCTTCAGAGTGAGCATGCATAATCAATATGCATTCCAGGAAGATGTTACAAAATGAAATTTTAAAAGTTTGTCCTATATTTTTAATACAGATTTCACATGAGATAATAGATTAAGTTGTATATGTATACAATATTCATGTCATTGGATATGCAACAAATGCTCATCTGAAACAAATAAATTCACTCATTGTATATACAAATGATATTCGATTTTCACTATATTCTCTTTGATAAAGAAGTTTTGTTAACTATGTACGCATACAAAAATTACAAAATACGAATTTGACTATATTTTACAATACTAATGATCGAACCCTTTATTGCTTTTGATGTGGACTAGCCATTATTTTTGCATGTAGATTAACATAGAGCTGATTTTTAGAATATATCATTAGAATGATTAATTAAGATAATTTGAATATTCTTAGATTAATAATAATAAATTTTAAAAATACTGAAAAAGAATTGGTCAAAGAAATCCATTATGATTTAAATATTATTTTTGTCATATTTATATAATGATCAGGAAACTTATCAATCTTTATTAGTTTCCATAATTGTTTATGTCTCACATATATATCATATTGATTATTTGAGAAGATTCAAAATATTTTATTTCATCTACCTAAGTACAGTCATACTATTTTAAATATAAAATTCTCAAAATTTACGGATAAATTTTGATTTTCTTTAATTATATAACTAATATTGCAATAAAAATTCATTTTTTTCACTTCTCATAAGTGATCAATATGTATTTATGTATGTACACCTTGAGGATCAAGTACTGTTTCATGTTTGATAATATTGTTGTAAGCATTTTCATGGAATAATCATACAATTGATCAAGACTTTGAAAATATTCAAATTTTTTTTTGAATCTTATATATATGTTTATATATACATATACATAATATTTCAAAAAGATAGTTTTTGAATGTTGAATAAAATTCATTATCAATGTTTGAAGATATTATTGGAATCAAGTTATTTTTCTTTAATTTTTTTACCTTTTTTTTGCAAATATTTTTTAGTACTTAATTCTTGGATTTTTTCTTTGCCAGGTTTATTTCAAGTATAGTTGATTTTCTTTAAAAATAAATTTGATATATATTAAATTTTTTTCCAGATATGTGAATCACCTGAATAATTTTTTTAATTTTAATAAATTTGTACTAGTATGAAATGTAATTTTTTAATAATTTATAATCTTGAATACAATTTTTTCATAAGTTTTTGAAATTTTCTATATATCTTTAAAAATATAAATTTATGTGTTATTTTCAGAAGATTCCTTTTAAGTAAAAAAAAAACTTTTTTCCGAAAATGTTTTTTATCCTAAAAAACAGAAACCAGATTTAAATAAAAAATGAAAATGTTTTTATGCTGAAGAATTGATTATTCAATATAGACGCATGTATATTTGCATTTTCAAAGTGATATAAAATCAATAGCTTGAATTTGAATTTGAATTTGAATAAATATGAATTAATTTATTTTGAAACATGAAGTTTGAAATTTATTGTGTATCACCTTTTTCATAGTTTAAAAATAGTAATATTTAAGAATTTCAATAATGTGAAATAAGATTCAAATAAATGTGGGTTAAAAAATAATATGAACATCTTTTTTTCAAGAAAAATCAGAATAAAAAATCACGATCACCAAATCAAAACATATTGGAAACGGTTGAGAAAAATTTGAATTTTATGTTGGAAGTCATGAATCTAGGTCATTATTTATCCAAATAAACATTTAATCTTTCAATTCGTTACAAATTATTTTTTGAAAATTGCATTATTTTGGAATGTGACAAATTTTTATAGCTACAAAACATGATTTTGAAAAAAATTAAATGTACGTAATTATGTGATATGTTATCATTAAATATCTAGAGAGAAAATTGAAACATATCTTACTAGACCTTCAGAAATCAAATTTGTAAGCCGATTATCTAAAAAATTTTCTTGGTAGAATCATACTCAAAGAAATAATTTAGACAATTTTGTTTTGTAGTTGAAGGAGTTTCACATTTTCTCTGATTGTCTAATTCTTGACTTGATTCACGGGCTTAGTGGAAAAATTTAATCAAGTCTGTAACTACAAAGCGTAATTGTATGTGGAATTATTCTGATGAGAAAAATAGATTCAGATTGCGGAGACAAGCCCTGATATTTTGAAGTTCTACTACCGACATCCAACATCATAATTATAGTAAATTCACAATGAATTATTACCGTATAATCTCGACGATATTGGAACAAGTACGAAGTATTAATTTTCGTATGCGATGAATCATCGTGACGTAAATCGGTCGATAAGATTGAGAGTTCGAAAAATGTGTGAGACGAACGAGGACGAGATAGAGAGCTCCCATAGGTGCATTCGGCGGGATTCGCTTTAGCAGAAGTACAGGGCAAATGTGGAGGAGATGAGGAAACCTCAGAAGGACCCATCGCTGATTGGCCCACTCTGGATTGCACCCATCTCTGCCATGGGCATCATGCATCCTCCATGCCCCTTCTATCCAATCTCGGGTTTGCCCGAGACGAAATTCCCCCATCTTTATCGGGGCAAGATAAAGCCCCTTCCACCAACCATCGCCCAGATAACTCCCCCATGCCTCTTTTTTCCAATTGGACCCTCCCCATCGCATGGCGCTATCGTCAGGGTCCCTCCAGAGTCCTCCACCACCCCTAGATCTTCGCATCGCACGGCCAGAATCGTTAGATTCTAGGAATCTTCTTGTGGTTCACTCCTTCCCTAATGGTAAAATCTGGTGGAATCGATGGGCATGGGATGCATGGGATGATGTGGGAGGCGGTCGGGCCCACGGGCACGCTTGTGGCTGAGCCGGGCTATGGCGGACGCGAGACCGAAAGCGGGGCCTGAGCAGGCACAAGTGCGCGGAATCGAGCAGCTCTTCTTCCAATTTCTTCTCGCTCGATCCAGGGATCGTAGCAAGCAGCAGAGCAGGGTCGAGCAGCAGCAGTGCAGCCGCAGGTCGAGGGCGAGAGCTTCGCGAAGCTTTCTGTAGAGTGAGGAGAAATGGCGGCAATGGCAGGAACCGCAGCCGTGCTCGGAAGGTCCGAGATCCTGGGACAGGGCCTCGTCGCCTCGTCCTCCACCTCCGTCAGGACCTCGTCCCCGTTCCAGGTCGTGGCCCTCTTCAACAAGAAGGGTGCTGCTCCCAAGAAGGCCGCTGGCAAGGTCGCCAAGACCGCACCACCCTCCAACGCCGAGTTGGCCAAGTGGTATGGTGAGTAATTTCCGACTGGTCTGGGTCCTCGAAATTTCTTTTTCCTGGCGTTGGATTACTAGGCCAAGAAAGGTTGACGCGAGGTGGAATCGGGCGATTGCGGGAAACGCAAGCTGAAGTGTGGATTTCATGTCAGCAAGCCTTGTAGAGCTTTTCATTTTAAAATGGGAATACCCTCGAGCGTGACGTTAGGCGCTGCGTGCGGAGTTCCTTAGTCTGCCTGCGACAGCAAGGGTAGTCATTTTCGAGGGTCACAGATGCTCGATCCACAATCGCAATGTCTGCGCAAAACTTGTTGCTGATTAGTGTGACAATTTTTTTCCAGGCCCTGACAGGAGAATCTACTTGCCCGAGGGTCTTTTGGACAAGTCTGATATCCCCGCGTACTTGACGGGTGAGGTTCCCGGAGATTACGGATTCGACCCCTTCGGTCTCTCCAAGAAGCCCGCCGACTTCGACAAGTACCAGGCCTACGAGCTCATCCACGCCCGTTGGGCCATGCTCGGAGCAGCTGGATTCGTCCTCCCCGAGGCCTTCAACAAGTACGGTGCCGTCTGCGGGCCCGAGGCTGTGTGGTTCAAGGTGAACATCGACACTCAACTTGCACATATGTTGCACCACTTACCTTTCAAACAACTGTCATCCAGAATATTTCGTTGTACTAACATTTTTCTCGCAACAGACCGGAGCTCTTCTGCTCGAAGGAAACACCCTTCAATACTTCGGTGCCAGCATCCCAGTGAACCTAGCTGCCGCTGTCATCGCCGAGGTCATCCTCGTCGGAGGTGCCGAGTACTACCGATCCACCAACAAGTCCCCACTCGGATCTGTAAGTGAATCATCACAGTCAAAGTTGTCTCGAGCAGGTTGTCATTGCTCACCTTCCACCTGAAATTCGATGTTGACAATCGTGTGTGCCGTGCAGGACCTCGACCGCCTCCACCCCGGTGGCGCATTCGACCCCTTGGGTCTAGCTAAGGACCCCGACCAGTTCGCCTTGTTGAAGGTGAAGGAGATCAAGAACGGACGACTGGCCATGTTCTCCATGCTCGGATTCTTCATCCAGGCGTACGTGACCGGCGAGGGCCCCGTCGAGAACTTGGCCGCTCACTTGAGCGATCCGTTCGGAAACAATTTGCTGACAGTTCTGCAAGGAAGCGCCGAGCGCGTTCCTAGCCTGTAGACTACAGATCAGATCAAGTTCTGAGAAGAGAGGAATCTCTTCCAGTGTATGTCTATCAGTCGTCGTCTTATTCTTGGGATGCGTAGACGATCCCTTCAAGCTTGTATAGAAGTTGAAAGTCAACTGCATTAACGATCTAGGCCTCCGGTACTCCTTGTATTTCGTGGTATCAAAATTTTATCTTCCTACCTTCCGCCATAACGAAACTCATGTTTAATTTTGTGCGGGTTGATGTGAGTGATTTCATGTAAAATTGCGGTGAAATGAAACGCATCTCTGATCGTGCGAGCCCTAGCTTTCCCTAAAGTAAACGAGATATTGCTGGAGAACTTCGAAACAGAATATAGCTTGTTGAAACGTCGTCGTACGTCGTAATATGTACTCAATGTAAGTGCAATACGTTGGTGGAAAGCGTAAACGCGAGGGATGAAAATGAAAAAACCTCTGACAAAGTTCTAAAGAAAATAGATGAGGACAGATGTGGGAAAATGAATTCATCGAATGGAATACTCTCATCAGAAGGTAAAATTACAAATCAAGAAGAAAGGAGAAAATGTAACATTCAAAAAAATGAGTAAAAACAAAAAAAATACTTTCTCCTCACACCTGATGGAAAAGTCTACAAAAAGCATGTACCTAAATCTGACTATGGTAGAAAAACATCATAATTCCCATCATATTATGAAATATCTGCGAAAATTAATCACTTACAAGCTTCTAAAAACCCAATTTTCTCTCATCTCGGCCCAGTAGAGGCAAAACTTGTAAACACTATTCCGAGTATGGAAGAAGATAAGCTGCATGTACAATATTATAAGGTAAATTGAATCCTATCAAATAGATTGAGATTCCCATATACCATCAAGTTTCTTATAAAAAATTATGTTAATATAAACTATGAAAGTAAAAAACTCAGTTTGTATGAAAGAATGAAGAGAATAGGAATATAGATAAGAAGTAATACTGACAAACGTAAATGTAAACTATGTAAATAAAAATTGGTGTTTGAAAATTAGAAATAAATTCGATAAGAAACAAAAATTTATACCGATCGAAAGTATTTATCAGATTAAGATGACTAATTTTTCTGACAATTGCCATATTAATATTGCTAAAATATATTGTCTGGTGCAAATTATACATTAAATATATGGATATACACATAAATATGAATCACCGTTCAAAATTAAGCAAAAATACAAAACTCTATGTACATTTAAAAATTTTCTGATAAACTAATTATTTGTAAATTAATATTTTATTATATAAAAATAATAAAATAGAAGAATTTTTTTCATATAATTAATTTAATTATATATTAATTTTTTTGTAATGTTTTTAAAATTATAGTATTAGATTTAAATTAGTATTAAATTTTAGTAAGAATGGATTTTAAATTTTCTGTTTAAGTAGATAATTATTTTCAGCATAATTAAGTAATTATCATTATGAAGAATATTTAATTTAAATTTCATTCTCATGGAATTTTCGTGAAAATATACATTTTTATGCGATATGATGAGTACTAATTTTTGAACGTGTTATTAAAAAAACGTATATTTTAACTAAATGAGAATTTTATTGTACTAAATAATATATTAAAAATTCATTTTTTCATTTAATTTTCAATTTTAAAATTGATTTATAAAATGTGACTAAAATCTGATATTATCTACAATATCTTTCTAATTTCCAATTATTATATGCAATAAAATAAATATTTGTCTGCAAGAGTTTTATGAGATTTTTCTAAAGTCTAAGAAAAATTTTATTGTAAAACACATGATTAAAATATATGAAAAAAAAAATAAAAAAAAATTTGGATTATTGAATTTTATTTACAAAATATTTGTGAAAATTTAGACAACTCTTATTAGTAACAAAAAAATTTGAAAAAATTACTCAAGAGAAATATTAAAATTTCTGAATGAAATTTTTTAATTGATCTTCAACTTTTATCTACACTTACCAATTAACAAGATTTATCACTAAGTTTAAGTGATATTTTATATAAATTATATATATAGATTCAATTTTAAATATATGATTCTTTACACCCAGAATGTACTCTACACAAAAACATATATTTAGATAATGAGTTATGATAAACCTCCAATTGTGATTATTGAGTTTTATGATCCTAGTTAAAAAAATCAGCTTGGTGTTAGGAATTAATTTGATTCTTTACTAAATCCAAGTTAATTTAACCCTTTTTGAAAAATTTTATTCAACTAGTTTTATATAGTAGAATTCTGAAAAACAACCTTTAATTTTTTTAGTATTTTCTAATAAGATGTTACAAGGAAGTAGTTTGCATGAATGAATCATAGATGTTCAATGTAAATTGTGGTTGTGCGTGTTCATTCTTGTGGAAATAGCTAGCATGAATGTATCATGAATTTACAGTGTTCGTTGTGCTTCTGCATTCTTGTGTTGATGATATGTATGTGAGTTCAAATTTTTTCTCAACATCGGTACGGTTATTCTTGCTACTAATTGAATACTTGTGATGCAAACTACGATGCAACAAAAAGTAAGATGCAAGTAACTAAGTCATTCATAGGCTTAACTTCACCGCACTAGTATAAAGTCATCAAGCTCCACAATTGCACTTTTATGATCAATTGATTACTTGTTTATTGGATCTTTGGCTGGTGCAATCTGTCGTGCGACTCGGTATCGCCATACATCATACATCGCTGCCATGCTCTACTCACAACTCACACATACATACACAAGGAACGAGAGTGTCCACACACAAAGGTATCACAACTAAAAACATAAGTGTCAAAACACAAACTGTACATAGAGAGTCGAGCCAAACTCACTACCCTGAGGTAGAATGAGAGTCGAAGCTAGTGGAGAAAACCCCTGCGCATAAAGCTCAACTCGAAGAACTGACAGTTCTTCGAGTTCGCCACGAATATAAACCTGTAAAGTCGACCTAGCCTACGCTTCACGTCTCAACGTTAGCCTACTCCCAACGTCACCCGACTCACACTCGAATCCAACGTGTCTGAACTCAAATCGACACCAACGTCGATCTGCAACTGCACTAACGTGCATACACATGACAGCTATCGTGCGACTCGGTATCGCCATACATCATACATCGCTGCCATGCTCTACTCACAACTCACACATACATACACAAGGAACGAGAGTGTCCACACACACAGGTATCACAACTCGCTCCCCTAGCTGGCGGTCAGGTCCCTCTGACTCCCAAGTAGCCCTATCTACAACTACATGCTATGCACCTTTGTGGGTGCGCGAACCAGTAGGCCGGGTGCTATGTTGCTCCATCGTTAGCCGCCTATCTGCAATTCATAACATGTGAAGATCAAGTCATCTACCCTCTGAAGTACATCGAGGACAAACCCACCGTCCAGTAGGAACAACATCGATAGGTGGAGTCAAGCACGACATGTGCCATCCCCTAGAACACCTATCACACACCAACATATGGGCCGCCTGATCAATTGACCCACATAACATGCACCTCAAGCCGGCACGTACAATCGCCAAGCTTGGGTCCATAATACCATCCACGTTTGTAGCGTACAATAGGGTACTGTCCCACAGTAGTCCAGGTCCCCCATCACGATATGCATGTGATGCCGGATAACTGACCAACGTAGGCAAAGCCATCCAAGGCTGACCTACGTGGTTCATCAATGCCATGGGTGACCTATCCGCCACTCTCACCACCTGAGAGCATCGAGAGACATCCAAGATCCTGTCAACGGTGAGGGTAGGATCACGATGCACAGAATCATACGCATGACGCAATATCTCTTGTGGTACAAGGTTGGTCCACCACAAACGTGCACAATGAGCACGTGAACCAACCCTCGCAGCATCCAACAACACTGCTGATCCAATCCATGCCCTGACCTCATGGACACTCGCCATCAACTGGGCCCGAGTGTCACCCAACAATGGTACGTTCTCTAGAATGTATGCGGGAGAACGTGTCTGCTGCTCCTGGAGATGACGTAACACTCGTAGCATCTCCCAAAACATCCGAGATCTCGGGTCATGTAACCCTGCTCCATGCGTAGCGCGTGTGTGCCCCTGACATGGCCATCCCGCAATCACCAAATCGATATGTCCAACTCGATTGAGGTCTGGCGCCCCTAGCAATGAAATGTCTGAAGGCAACGCCTTCTGGTATCCTCGAACAGCTGATCGCGGCAACAACAAAGGAAAACGCTGCATCAACTGTGTAACATGTCGTGAAGAAACCCGACGTGCAGTCTCGTCCTTCTCCACGTACAAGAATACCTGACTGCAACACTGCAGCCTAACCCGTGCTGATACCTCCAAAAAGATCTAACAAACAAACACCCTCTGGAGAATACTCCCATACGATAGGTGTAGTAACTAATGGTGATAGGGTGCTAAGACCACATACTAACCGACCACCTTAGACTCGCTCTGCCTCTGCTGGTAAAGAGGCATCACTCCAAGCCTTCTTCACCAACCTATTAGCCTCATGCTGTAATACGTGGCAAGAACCCCAAAGTGGAACATCCAAAGATGATGACACTGCCGCTGCGAGACTCACCATCTCCTACACCTCCTCATAGACTGGAGTATCCTTGGGTGACCTGTTTCCCTCCAACAAGTCATCAGGCCATGTTAGCACTCCACTGAAAACCGCAATAGAGGCTAAAACTACAGGAGAAGATCCAAGAGGTCGATCTCGAGAAATGAACCTCACAGCCAGCTCACTCATACGTCCATCATCGGACTCCCAACCAGGGCGATAAGCTTCCGTCTCCGTCCAATAATCCATCCGAAATTCCATCGGATATAACACCGCTCCACCAACCAGCACATCATATGACTCTGCTGATGTAACCACCGCTCGAACTCCAAACTGCGAGCTATCTTGAGCATGACCATGCCTCAACTGCACTAATATGCGCTCTCTGGTCATCTTGTAAGACCTGTCGCTGATGCCACCGAGTGATGTCTGAATTTGGAATGGACAAGGCTCCAACTCGGACCTCCGAACTCCCAAACTAATGCAGGCAATCTTGCCCAACATCAAAGGCTGTGCACCAAAATCCAGCAACACTCTGGCTGGGACATACACCTGCCCTGTAGCACTTACCAAGCGAAATACACCGCTCCGGTTATCCATCATACACACACCAGGGACAATCCTCTCCCGATCAATGGCTGGTCGGGCTGGCA